GCTCTCTGCAAAACACTGTGGTGCACCTCTGTTAGCCTCGGTAACAGCAAGGTCTAGAAATGCTTCTTCTTCACTCTTAGATGTCTCAACCACAGCTCTGTAGCTTTTCCCCATGTGTATTCCTGTCTCCTTGCAACTAGCTCTGATGGCTGCTCTGAGCTCTTCATCCTCCTGTTTCCTTCTCCTGGCCTTAAAATTGGCATCCTTGTACTGTTTTGGAGCCTTTCCTTTTCCTTTCTTCTTATCTCCTTTTCCCTTATTCTTTGAAGATCTCTCGCCTTGCTCTAGACGCACCCTTTTCTTTGATGTACATGTATCCATAACATTCTCCATGAAAGTTTCTTGATCTTCACTTCTCAAACTTTCCTCTAAATTTTTCACCTCCCTTGCAGTCATGTTGAGTGGCTTTTCTCAAAATGAAACTGGGGTGAATCTTGTGTTGCACTGATATTTATAGGAAATGTTTGTATTTTTATTACAAAAAAATACATATTATGCTTACCTTGGTATGGATGTTATATGATACTTAACTTTGCAGAACACATTATGCATCTATGTACAATACCAATAATTGTGTGGAATTTTTTACATTCTATAAAAATTCCAATACCCTCCTTTAAGTAAATGTACCAGTCTTACCTTTATATGCAAAATATTTGTATGGTGTCCTTGACCACACTGACCAGCAACACACACAGGCGAGTTGAAACACCCAGTACTACTAGTCAGTGCAATATAACTATTCATGTACACTGCACACACAGTACATGTACACACACACAGTCCAACACTGGTCAGTTGAGCTCACTGTGTGTTAACCCAGTGAGCTCTACTGGCCAGCCAGCCGGAGCCACCGGTGTCCGTTCACCCAGCAGAGTCCGACACCCACTGTTGTAACCAAGATGCTAACCTGACAGTACCAGCTCAGCCAAAATTAAACACCATCACCCTGGGCCTACTGTACCAAATCTAGCATAGTCCAACACCATGTGCTTACAGTATGGTACCAAACCAGCCGAAACCTAGCGAAACCTGCTGTTGGAGTTTGATGGGCTATGGGCAGTTAGAGTTAGTGACCAGACTTGTGAAAAGACCGTTGATGGGTTGGCTACAATAATGGAATGATTCAGATCAGCAGACCGCTATGTTACTACCACCATGGGGCTGGCTAGCTCAGTTGGTGGAGCTCAAGTACAGTAATCCAAAGTTACCATGGGTTCACATCCTGTATCTGTCAACTGTTTTCTGTGTAAACTTTCCCAGGGTGTGTTTAAAAGCAGCATCATTTAACCCTGAGGGAACAGAAAAGCTGAGAACAGAATTTTACACTTTCTTGCCATATGACTGCCTTGCAGTTTTTCAGTGATCTTTTGCAAAGCTTCAGTTACACATTTGTAAAAATAAGGTCCAGTAATAGAAGTCCAGTACTCCACAATAAGTGTCGACAGATCCTGTGTTTTTCATTAATGATGTGTTGGAAAAAGCGTTGATTCATTCACGACGGTGTGCTGGTGACTAATTTTAAAGCTTTTTCTGGTAAGGTTGCAGCTTAAGGTTAAGGAAAGGCAGTACCACAGGACCAAATTCATTTCTGCACCAGTCAAGAAAACGTTGTGTTTATCCGATGACAGTATTTCCTGAATGCACCATAGATTCTTGCAGCTCTATCACAGCAACCTGAGCCGAATGCTGGACTTGATTCCGAGGTTATGCCTTCCAACCCCTCCGGAATCAGAAGAACTTCGGAGGCAGGTAGCGGCGCTGGAAATCGGTTGATTGCGCAAGACGTACCCGGATGCTCACACTGGTAAGTGTTTGTGACAAGGGGGTGTGTTCACTACCACAGTGTCTGCGCAGGGGGGGGTGTTTAATCAAAGTTTGGTACTGATTACTAAACGACAGCGTACCAAACGTCTGGAGAACATAAACGTAGCAACTTTCACCAAAAATGGAGGAAAAGGGGCCGTATTTAAGTGGCCATGAACACCACCTCCGAGGTATTGTATTAAGAGTGTTTGGTATTTCATCTGTTCGAGTCCCACCTGAGTATGTTTGTGTTCTTATTTCACAAGCCTTCGGGGGCAACCACTGAGTATTCAGTGTGATAATACACGCCAGACAGGGCAAAAATCTAAAATTAACATCTCCCCGGCCCAAATCCATCCTCAGAAATATGTCATCTGCATCGTGCATATCTAGCATTCAACAGTGAAGTTACATGTAGACGGGTATGGATCTCACTTCCATATCCATTATGCTATTGAACACGCTCCCGATTTTTATGGATTACTTTGGATAGCTCGTTGGCCAGTCGAAGCTGGACAGACAAGTGATGCCCTGCACTGGTTCCTGATCTCTTTATAGGAATATGTGGAGGGCACCACTCTTTACCGCTCCCCTCATTGACGAAAATCTGCACAAATGTATTGTTCAAGGAGCGGTAATATTATGACAAGTTTTGATCTTACAACACGGTAGTTGAGGCAGATTTGTTTACGTGGATATCAGTTTTGTTCTTGCATGTGTGCTCTCGTTGCCAAAGAGGGCACTGTTGATCCCAGCAAGCAGAGGAAAGAAAGCAGGATTATAATACTGGTGGATCAAAGTTCAGTTGTACCTTTGTTCTTTCTCTAGGTCCAATGGCACAGCAGGTGAGACCCAGGGGGAAGGTGCAATGCTCTACTTGAACCAGCAAGATCCGGCTGGTAACAGTTTCAGCCAGTGCCAGCAGGCTGTGAACCAGTCACCGGCAGCTGGGAAGCCCCCTCACAAGCCCGGTGTCCTGAGCAGAGTCAGGACCATTGGCGTCATATCATCCGGGGGTTTGACTGCAGTTCATGTCAAGGTACGCGCTGTTGACTCTATGCCTGGGCCGAGTTCCACATTAGAACTCCATCTTTGTCTTCTACAGGCTCCATTTTCAGTAATGTAATCCCGAGATGAGAACTTTAATCCTAAAGCACCGTCGGGGAAGCTACCCTGAGTTTTTTCTAATTTTGTTATGATGCATATTTTTTGGGGGGATTGGACCTTCAATTTTGCCAGTAATGTCTCATAATCCAGCTTGATTGCCAATTGTATGAAGTATACACATCCTTTGTAACTTTTACTTGTGTTAAATGAGTGAAATTATTCGACATTCCTCTTCGATAAACCACTGGAAAGTGCAATCTTTGAAAGTGTTACAATGTTCCATACTTATCCTCATAAATGAGGGCATTGCTGCTGTGATGTTATTCAAGGCAGACGTCCTGGTTGTTTTTAAGGGGGGTTCTGTTGAAATAGCGAACTCAAAGTATGTTCATTGCAAAACTTAACGATAATAACTGCTTTAGCATCCTGCATGGGCATTGCGAGGGGAGGACAAGAGGGAACACTTGTCCCTCGCTTGAAAAAATATGGAAGAACATTAAAAAAAAGTTGGAAAAAACAATGTAAAGAGAAATAAGAGGAAATCGGATGAAAGTTGCGGATTTGCTTGAAAAAGGTCACCTTTTACCTGCATGTCTTCTTTCATTTCACCACTAGACCTGGCTTGCCCTCAGGAAATTCCCCACCCAGTGGTAAAAAACTGGATTCCCCCCATCCTGTTATGCGCTGAAACAACTAATCACATAGGGAAAGAAAACGTTCAGAATGAGAATGAGTGTCCACACTGTTTTTTAGGAGTAAAAATAACTGAAATGATAGTTTCTTCAGGAGTGACATCCAGTTTTATAAATATGCTTATGGTGTTAGCATGAAAGGAGAGAGGCCCAAAAAATACCCTGAACAGGTACAGATTGAAATTTGAAAAAAATTAAGATAATTTTGGGACACAAAGGTTCAACCACCAGGACTACATGGCAAGAGTGGGCATTGTGCTTAAGATGGCCATCTTGGATCATGCTTTCTGAATCAACTTCATTAGTTAAAAAATGGAATTGGTAGGAGCCCGACTATTTTGCTATAGTTACTTGTATAGCCTCACTTGAATTTTGTTTTTCCTTTTTCAAATGGAAAAAGTTGATAGGTTTTTATCCGTGGTTGTTGGAGTGCAAGATGGTGATCTAGAATTTGCTTTTATTACATCATTATATGAAGCTTTTGAAAACTTTATGGTGGGTCACCTTGCTTTCAGTGTCTGACTCAAGAATAAGACCAATTGTATGGACCATTCTAAAAAGACAGGCATATTGGGTACACTGCAGTCTCATAATCACATGCTAGACTTTATACCACAGTTTGCCAGCCACCGGTCTGCCAATGTTGTACTTAAGACCAACACAAGACCTCCAATCCAAATTCAAGTCACAAGCATGACAAGCTGTTCAGATTTACTAGAACTAGAGCAGTCCTTTGTCTCTGTTCTTTCTTTTAGCTGCGACTTGGCTTTTGTCTTGTCATATTTTGACCTCAACACTGCTACCCGCTATGTCTTGAGTACCGTATGTACGGGTACAAGTGCACCAGTGTCCCTTCGAACCTACATGTACTTTGTCTCATTCCCTTTTGCTTTGCGCTGTCCAATTTGGCAACAGTAACAACATTGACCATTTTGACAGAGGCCACCACTAATTGAGCACATTATCTCTGTGATTACCAATACACTAGGATCGTGGAGTCAAAGGGAACGTTCACACAGGGGCACAGCCGCCATGGTTACAGGGCGACAACGATGATGATGATAATGTTGATGCTGAGGAGGAGGCCCAGAAGATGATGGGACCGTCTGAGTTGGAATTCAGGAAACACGGTGAGTGGATAACCCCAGACTGTGTTCTTTCCTCAAGTTTCTGGCTTACAAGACAACATGAAGGCCACACCAGATCATGACCATTCATATGAAATCAAACA